CTTAAGCCCAAGAGTTTGAGGTTGCTGTGAGCTGTGATGCCACAGTACTCTACCAAGGGTAACAAAGTGAGACTCTGTCTCAAAAAAAAAAAGGAAAAGAAAAGAAAAGAAAAGAGAAAGGGAGAAAAATGTAGGCTTTTAAAAAAATTCATCCATTATGGTAACTTCCCTGTATTTTAAGTTTAGTAATTTTTTATAAAAGAAATAATATTTCTTCATAAGAAAAAAATACTTGAGCCAAATACAGTGGCTCATGTCTACAGTCCCAAATACTAAGGAAGCTGAGGCAGGTGGATCTCTTAAACCCAAGAATTCAAGGCTGCAGTGAGCTATCATCATGCCACTATACTCCAGCTGCCATACCCTGTCTCTTACCAAAAAACAAACAACAACAACAACAAAAAAAAAAGAAACTTGGGACAAGAATTAAAATCACTAATGAAGAATTTTTAATGAGCAAAATATTTTTAAGACAGATTTCTCGCTGATTCTATCAGATGTCCACAGTCTAAGCTATAAAAGAAATCTTGTTATATTTAAAGGTAATTTATGCCATTTCTAACCCAATACTTGCCTTATTTTTTAAGAACATATTCCTTCATCATAAAAATATACACGTCACTAAATGACACAAAAATGGTGTAAAACGCTATTAAGTCTTGGAGCATGATTTGACTTAAAGAGACAAGTGAGATGTTTAGAAAAGTCCCTCAACTCATCCCTCTACAAACTATTCGTTTACATCTTATGCTTGTTCTTGTTCTATCTTGCTGAAATCAAAATAGTCATCAGCTTTTTATTTAAATAAAAACAAAAATTAAAACTTAAGAGATGTTACAATGTTGAAACCTAAAGAATCAAAAAAAAATTTTTTTCTTGAGACAGAGTCTCATTATGTTGCCCTGGGTAGAGTGCCGTAGCATCACAGCTCACAGCAACCTCAAACCCTTGGGCTTAAGCAATTCTCTTGCCTCAGCCTCCTAAGTAGCTGGGACTACAGGCGCCCACCACAACACCCAGCAATTTCTTTTGTTGCAGCTGTCATTGCTGTTTAGCTGGCCCGGGTTGGGTTCGAACCCACCAGCCTGGGTGTATAGGCCAGCGCCCTACCCACTGAGCTATGCGTGCCTCCAAGAATCAATTTTTTTAAAATATCCTATATTTTATAAAGAAAAATACCTAGGACTAGAATAGTAACATTTCCTCTAAACATCATTTCACTGTAGTAATGTGTTTAACCTCATCATCTTGTAAGAACATAGGTAAAAATGCAAAGAAACTACAAACATTTGGCCAAAACAAACAGGGCTATAAAAATTCAAAAAAAAATTTTATTTCAATAAGTTTTATTTTTTTAATTTAAGATTGACATGAGAGTGCAAATATTTAGGTTACATTGTTTTCATTCCTGAAATAAAGTTCAAGTTGTA